CTTTTAATCTACTCTTAAATAAATATTCATCGTCCCCCCTGATATCGAGGGTTAGATCATCAGCAGCAAGAACCAACAGAAGCAAGCTCTTCTTTCTCTTTAGGAAGGATATATGATCAAACTGAACCAATATGAGAGTCAAGTCTCAACAGCTTCTATTTATGAGAATAATACCCAAAGTCCTATCAAGGCCAATTGTATCTTCCTTTTCTTTTCAGACATTTTATTTGTCTTATAGTCCCACACACAAGCAAGTGGCATAAGACTTTTCCTCCCCTGAAATATTAATTTGTAGGTAAGAGAATTTCTTTTTCCTTTTTTTGGTACAAGGGGAAAAAAATATTAATATATACATATTCCTCTCACGTTAATTTTATATTTTTATTGGTTACACAATTGATATAGTATATATATAGTGATAATATGTGAGACATGCTTTTTAAGAGGTAAATTTAAATCTTCTCATATTTAATATAAAAATAAAAAGTATTCATTTGAGTTTTAAATGCCTTTTTAAGAAATCAATATAAAATTAAAAAAGCTAACCCAAAAGGAAATTTTATTTTAAAAAATCTACCAACAAGATAAAATGGTCCTATATATGAAGAGATAGCAAAACCTGTAGGGACCTAATCAAATACCAACCCACGTGAAGAGCCACATCTAACGAGCATGAAATGAATGCTCAACGCAAGCAGGCTGCCTATTATATCGATCTACTCCTCTCTTTTTCTTCCTTTTGGTAGTAGAAGTAGGTCCCTTTAATTAATTCAATTTTCAAAACCTTATATCTACATACCGGCCTATATATGCGATGAATTGAACCAACATTTTCTCCCATACCCCAAACTCCCTTAGCTAATTCCTAAATATGGACCCAAAAACCCCACTAAATAAGCACAAGAAGAAGAGGTTGACTCAGGACCAAGTTAAGCTCTTGGAGAGGAGCTTCATCCCCAACAAAAAGCTGGAGCCGGAGCTGAAGCTCCGCCTAGCCAGCCAGTTGGGGGTGCCACCGCGACAAGTGGCCATATGGTACCAAAACAAGCGAGCCCGTTGGAAGACTCAGAGCCTTGAACTTGACTACACCACCCTCCAAGTGAAGCTGGAGAACGCGGTCGCAGAGAAGAAGAGGTTGGAGAGACATGTGAAGCATCTTCAGGAGGAGCTAAGGAGGGCTCAGGAGATGCTGTATGCTTTGAATTCTAACCGAAGGGAAGATAATATTAATGGTAAAAATAATGATTATAATTACTATAATAAAAATACTCTTGTTTCTTGTACTGCAATTACAACCACTGCTGAGGAGGGAGGGAGGTCTGGATTGCATGAGGTGGAGGAGGTTTTGCAGCTTGATGATGAGCTCTATGCTAGTTTGATTGCTGGAGGAAATAGGTCTAATTAGGGTTAATTAATTACGGTGTGAGAGTGTGGTTAGAGACTTAGATAATTTGCCAATTAATTGCCTTTTCATGTTATTGTAAAATGTATAAAGAAAATTGTGACTTTTTTCTTGGTTTTATGTAATACGTGTTCATGGTAAGACAATTAGTTTTATTTTGAATTATGAATATAGGATTTTATCTTAAAATATGATTAAAACTTTTGCTAAGAAGTAGAGTTATTAAGTTAGAGTTATGATCACTCAAGTTAATATAAAAAATGATAAAAAAATAAGATGGTTAAATTATTGGTTAATTAATATTATTAAAAAATAAATTATTTTATTAATCATACACAATTTAAATAAAAAAAAATTATATAAATATTATCTATTATATAAAAAAAAATGTTATATAATGTAAAGAGTATCATATTAAATAACATTTATTTTTTTTATCATTAAAAAATTAAAAAAAAAACAAGGTGCATTTGAGCGCGTAGTAGATTCGAAACGCTGCGTTTCATTCCGTATTTATTTTTCAGTCAATTAAACTCTCTTTCCCTTTCTCTTCTCCCTCCAAAGTAGCGTCCCGCCAAAAGAACCAGAGCAGAGCGAACCCTCCCATACCAAATCTGCGAACGGGCGGTCGGAAAATGGCATCATCTTCAACATCTCGTCCCGAAGGCGTCGCCGGAAGAATCAGAAACGCCGCTTCCACTCTTTACTCCGAGAATCAAACTCTCATCACTGTAAGCGCTTCCCTTTCCCCATCACCTTTTACACGAAATACACGAGGCACTCTTTTGAAAGTAACTGAAATTCATATTTGCTCCGATTTCCCTTTTTAGGCATTTTTGCTTGCGTTTCTTCAGAAATATCAAAATCGATGCAATTTTTTCAGCCCCAAATTTAGGAGGAACCCTAATTTTTCTTTTCCCTGGATTTTTCTTTAATAATTAATTTTCTAATTTTTATAAAAGAAAATAGGTTACACTGTTGCTGAAAAGGTAATTTCTTTTCTGTTATTAGAAGCTTTTTTTTTTTTTTTACAAAATAGTTTGCTTTCAATTTCAAGAGCTGAAGTGAGGTTGGTATTTTTGCCTTTGTGAGCAAGACTAGTTCTTTTGAATGCTAACCAATTTTTTACTTGAGTTTTGAAAGTTTTCCTTTATCATATGTCATCAGGATATGCGGAAGGCGTTTAATACAATGAAGGAAATGGCTGTTGATTTGGAGAGAGAGAATCAGTCTGAGATGGTATTTTGGCTGATAAACTTCAATTTTTCTTGTACATTTTGGCTTTTCGGTCTATGAAATTAATTGATCAATGTACATTTTGCAGCTGAAGCAGCTTGAAGTTGCTGTTGTTGAGTTGTTGGAAGCTTATGAAGATTGTAACTGCCGTTCATCCACCATTCAATCGGTTGGAAATACCTACCAGCCAGGAACTGAGGTTTTTAAATTTCTTCTATTGTACATGATTTTTCTTCCTTTAATTTAGTTGTCCCACCATATTATTCACTGATGTTTCTGAACTGTAACTAGAGCTGCTTTATATGTTCACTCACAGTTGACTGATTTTAATAAGTTGCTTGAGGACGAGTTCACAAAGCTCAAGGCTAGTTCATCCTCAGTTCCTCAGAATCACCCACTGATACGTCAATTCCATGAAGCGGTCTGGGTATGTATTGCTGAGAGCATGAGATTAGTGCAGATTTTAAAAGTCAGCTTATCAAAATGATGAGCATCCTACAAAGAATTATTTCAGTGGATGTGTGCCATTACTTCTTGAGACATATTAAGTTGATTTTTTTTTTTTTTTATCAGCAAGATATAATCCTGTCGGCATTCTATGCCAGAATCGTATTGTACTTCATAGCAGTTAATATCTGAGAACATCTACTATAGAATGCTCTTGTTGAATTAGAGGTTTTACCAGGCATGATTGATTGTTGGAGGAGAATTTTACTCTCTTGTTTGTATTGATAAGGTTTATGTTATAAGGAAACATACATGCAACTGCTTGTTACAGGGGTGAATTCAAAAATCATTCAAGGTCTGTCACTTATGTGTTTTGCTGACCACGCCATTTTTCTTGCAGAAAGTTCATCATGAAGGAGAGCCAATGCCAGGTGAAGAACAGGAGGACATTGTAATGACCAGTACTCAGGGTAACGTTTTGAATGTTACTTGTCCATTGACTGGAAAGCCTGTTACTGAACTAGCAGAACCAGTTCGCAGGTATTACATTAAGTTACTAATTATGTATGTACTTTTCTTTTAAAAAAGACCAGGCAATGTTAATTTTATATGTAACTTGGTAAGTCTTGTTCATTTTATTTGGTTAACTTGTGCTGGAACTTGGATGGAAACTTGTAAGTCATAGAAATATCTTTCTCCTTTTCTTCTGAACACAATATGGCTAGAATACCAACGTGTTTGAAAGCCGTTTGGAAACTTGAGCATGCATTAGAACCCAACTTCCAGTTTCTTCTCTTCCCCTTCTGTATCATTTGATACCCTGCTTGTTTACTCCCTGGATGCAGTTTGGATTGCAAGCATATTTATGAAAAAAATGCAGTCAAGATGTACATGAGAGCCAAGAATTCCGTATGCCCTGTAGCAGGTAAGCAATTTTATTTATTTGGTTCTATGAAAACCCTTTTATTGCATATGTTGTTCTCATCTTTAACCAGTCTTCTTTTCTCATGTCAGCTTGCCCTAAGATATTGCAGCCAGAGAAAGTGGTCTCCGACCCAACGTTGCTCTATGACATTGAGGAAATGCGCTCAATGAGCAAACAAACTGCTAGGACTGATATAATAGAAGATATTACTGTGCCTCTGAGTGAAGAGAGTGAGTGATGCAGGCCGTTTCCATTGTATCATGATATTATCATATGCTACTGCCTACTGGAGATTCTTTTGTATATGAATTTTTTTTTAACGAGCATTTTCCGGTTGGAATGTGTCTGTGTTGGGATTGCGGAATATCAGTCTTTCCTGGCAAATAAAATTTCAAAATAATAATGAAAAGATTTTAATACCTTTAATAACTTGCACGTAAGAAAATGGTATTTGAACGTTTCCCGTATGCGGCGCACTGGTTGAGCCGTGCTCCTCAATGAGGTGCAGGTGGAGATCATCAATGAGGTGTAGGTGGAGATCATCTCTTGTCCCGGGTTCGAGCTCTCATGCTTGTTAACAGGTACTAACACAATTAAACTAACCAAGTTTTTACTGTTAAAAAAAAAAAAAAAAAGAAAATGGTATTTTCAATACGTTATGATTATCACTTTTCTCATTTGTGTTTCAAAAGAAGGAAAGAAAAATCAGCACCCACAGCATCGAAGAAGATTTTCTTGTCTAAAAAACTGACTACAAAAGACCATTTAATCAGCATCAGATTCTTTGAAATCCGAAACACACCAATGTCCATATTCGCTAGGGTGTGGTTATTGCACCATCAATATGTAATGGTCACTAAAATTTTGGTTTTTTTAAAATAGTGTTTTAAAATATTATTTAATAATTAATTTTAATTTATTGATTAATAAATATATTATTTTATTAATTACTTTTATAAATCAAATTAAATAAAATTAATATTTTTTTTTGAATATGTTACAACTTTAAAGATGAGAAATTCGAAAGTCAATTTTTAATCTAAGAGTATACTTACAACATGACTTATCATCATCAAATCAAGAAAGTCAAATGCACAAAATTAATATTTTTAAAAATAACATTTTACAATTTTAATAATCATAATATTATTATTGGTGGCCATATTCATCCCCTATTTACAGTTGGTATGAATAGAGATGGCAACGCTTCCAATTGATGCAACAATGATTTTCGTGGCCGTAGAATTAACTATTACACCAATCAAAGTATTTATGTTTAACAAATATAGTCAGCCAGCACTTCAAGTATTTTAGCTAATTTATTTCAACCAAAATGTAGGACAACTAATTTTATTTAATTTGAGGGGAGATATATTTCAAGAAAAAGTATAGAGGTTTCTTTCAATAATAATTAAAAATAAAGGGATAAAGATACCTTTTGCCAAAATTCTATATATACTGCTTTTTTGTTTGAGCGCATATATATACTCAGCTTTAGGCATCGTTTGATGTAGTACTTTGAAATAAATGATTAATAGTTTTGTTTAATTAGATAGTTAATATTTATTATTATGAATAATTTAAATACTTTTATTTATTGAAGTAATTAAAAACATTAATCATTAATTTTAAATCGTTATATCTAATAATCCTTTAACTCAAATAAAAAAATAAATCCTTGCAAAAAAAAAAAAAAAACAACCCACACAATCCTCACCTGATAGCTATTACTAAACCAAGACAGCAAAGCAAATCATCTCTCATTAATGGCATACCATAAAAATGGTTAAATGGTTAGAAACATTTATTTTCAGACCAAATCTTAAAAGAACTAAATTATATTACTTTAGTAGTGGATCAACTAGAAATCTTATATGTCAGTGAAAAAAAAAAATTGCAGAAGCAAATACAGACCATAAAGATCAATAATGCAGAATTGAAGAAAAAGTGGAGAGCTTGTCTGAGGCATCTTGTCACAACTAATCTGTCAAATTCAGGTACAATTTTTTTTCTTTTATATATATAGTGGATGATAATCCTTAATAACTGTGATTTGTGAATTATGATAAATGAAAATATAAGGATTCCTGACTTAGCTATGTCTGAGGTTCTGAGCCCATCAGCCATGCCTGGAACCTACAAAAACGCCTAGCTAATTTGTGGTTCCTTTGACCTCCCTCCCTCTAAACAGTAACTTAGATAAAAAGCTTGTGTGATCTAAATGATCACTTAATTATTGGTTAAAAGATATTTTATTTTTGGTGTACGGTTCAATTTTCATCTCTTCTCACATTCTCTTGTTATGACTGTGGTTACTGCTGTCCAAAAAGACAGTCGATGAATTGCACTCTCATCTAGATTCAATACCTCACATTAACAATTCTAACTTTATTAATCTTTAATAATTGTCCTCGTCCAAAAAAAAAAAAAAACCTAAACAAATCCAAGGTAGGGCAGTGATAAATTTAAGGAATTTATAGTTCTCAGAAAAATCATCTTTGTTAATCATATCTTTTAAAAGATTTATATTGTTGGTGCTGTATGTGTGTGAAAGAGAGACAGCGGTTGTGTCAGGTACCTGGAAAATGGGGGCACAAGAAATAAAACTTGGTCACCACCCCCTCAGTCGGACGAGAGATTCCATCCGCTGAAAAATCTGGCAAAAACAAAGAAATCTATAGATCTGTTGTGAGAAAAAGATTAAAAAAAACAAGAAGGCCAAGTGCTCGAGTCTAGATTGATGAAGAAAAAAATTAACAACGTTTGGTGTGTCGAACTGTATAATTTAAAATATAAAATAAAAATAAGTTTTGATATCAAAAACTATTATTTATACATAATGATTTTTTTTATAATTTATAATAAAAATTGTCTCTCACCTATAATGATTTTTTGTTTTATGATTTAATGCAATTTAAATTAGAAGGCAAAGCACTAGAAAAAAAAAAATTAGGTATAAAGAATATCTTTTTCAAGTTTGAACAGCTGCTCAAAGTTCTAGCCCATGATTGAAGAACAGTGCATCTTAATCTTAGCAAACTCTTTAATTCAAAATCTAACTTTCTAGCTGACATTTCTCCCCTTTTTCTCGTACTTTTTGTCCAAATCCATATTTTTTATTTTTTAACGTACAAATAATTATTTATTTTATAAATATCTTATTGATTCAAGTGAAAAAAATTTAATTTTTTTAAAATAAGATTTTGAATTTTAATTTTATAAATAAAAAAATAAGTGTTGAAAAAATTTTTTTTATAAGATTTAACGTGATTTAGTTTTAAATTAATTAAAATTTAATATAATTATCAAATATTTCAAAAGTTAATATAAAAAAATTACTTATTTCATAATTAGCTGTCACATTATGGAAGAAAACACAATACCTAAGAAAATCCAGCATTCTTCCACTCTCTTCTCTCTTCAACATAAGACAACCACATGGGTTGTTTGCTGTCATGACAGGATAAGCGTGTATACCCTCCAACATATTCATCTTTTTAGCTAATTCTAGATCAATTTCATTGTATAATCCTATGATTGATACTTCCATATGTTTATAATACTGTCTCTAGCTAATAATTTATGCCGCTAAGCATGGATCCCAATAAAATAGTTACTGTTTATAACCCAGCAGCACATGGCATCCCAACCCATTTGGCCTCATCATCTGTATAGTTCCTAACTGGATGGTAGAATAGAATAAAAACACGAATTCTAAAGAGGGTCTTTTGGTTTTGTTTGGAAGGTGTTTGTAGTTTTGCCTCGGTCATGGAGGTGGAGGAAAATGTTTGTGATCATGACGCTTGTCTTGAGTCCTCTGCTGGTAGGGATGGTGAGAAGATGGAAGCTCTTGGGCTCTTGGATGAGAATTGGTTCTTTGGAAACTTTCTTAAGAAAGGAACAAGGATGTCAAGGTGCTACTCTGATCCATGCTCTTCATCAAACTTCAGTCCAAGCTCTTCAGCGGCATCCACAAAGGAGGGTAAGGGTTTGGCTCGTGTACCATCATTACCTCCATATCTTGGGAAGGAAGGGAAGATTCAAGAAAAGAAAAGCAGCAATGGGAAGGGAAAAGTGAGTCAATTGACAAGGCGATTATCGGTTGGAAACTTGCCTCAGGCACCAAAACCAGCCTGTACAGAGAACAAAGTAGAGATTCAAGAGAAAGGAACTGATGGGAAGGGGAAGAGCAGATTGAATGGTGATGGGAAATCATCTCTGCTGAGGACACCCTCTTTACCAGCTTCTTTAGGAAGGGAAGAATTGATTGAAGAAAATGAGAATGACATCAGAATGAGCAAACTGATTTGGCAAGCATGGGCTAATTCCTCTGAGATCCAAACTCCGAAGGTATTAATGCTACAATCCTCAGCTTGTTTTCTTATGATATTTACATTTCTTCAACTTGCTTTTAAATTCTTGCACAAGTTGCATTGCAGATTCATCCCGAGTCATGCTTAATTCTTAAGTGTCAAATATCTTTGGGTTATTTTCACCATGGATTAAACATCTTGAATCCTATTAGGCCAAACCCTCTATTTGCATCCTAAATATTGTTGTTGTTTTATCAACACTTCCTAAAATTTTCACTCCGTCAATAACTTTTGTAATTTAAAATTGTTAAAAAAACCTCAAAAGTTAACAATCAAATCTCTTATTTGCACCATGACTTGATTTGTAATTTAGGTTATTTAGAGGTTTCAAATTACAAAAAATACTCATTACGTGTAAAAATTATAGAAAATCTTAACTGTAAAATACAATAATGTCTATGGTGCTGGGACTTTTTCTATTAAGTGGACTTTTGGAGGTCCAATTCCCCCACCCTACAAGTAGTTTATTAGTGAAATAGAAAAAAGGATGTCTTATTTATCAAGTTTAACTCCTTTTTAAAGTTTTGTTCTCTTGACTATCTATACGATCTTACAACAATTTGTAGGCCGTGAATCAAAGTACTAACACCTTTTCAAGAAGCCGACCACCAAGAAACATAGAGGCAGAAAACGCTGGCGCCAACGGTGTAAAGGAAACTAGACCGCGTTCCCTGAATCAAAGGACATTGGAGAAGAGCCAAAGTAATATTGATTTCCATGATCTGGGAGGGTTCAAGGACTTGGGGATCAGGGAGGTAATGAAGAAAGACCAGGCAAGAAGGCCGGATTTGTCCAAGGTATGGATTGTACAGAGCTATGCAGGTGCAGCTCACCCTCAAAACACAAATCGTACAGCTAAGACTTCAACAGAAGACATGAAGGCACAGATCAAGTTTTGGGCCAGGGCTGTGGCAACTAATGTGAGACAAGAGTGTTGAAATGAAACCCATAAAGACAAAACAGGACTATTTTCTGTTTCTGCTTCCTTTTATCATTTTCTTGAGATTTTGTTTCTGGGGTTGATTGGCTCCCTCATAATAACAAACAAGAGGCATGCATCCAAAAAGGCAAGAATGAAGGAAGTGTTCTTGTTTAACACCTAAAAATTTTTATGCAAGCATTCTTTTTGGCATCTGCATTGATATACTGACAGATGCTAATCATAATTGTTCTGTTTCCTAAAAAAAAACCAAACATGTTTTTCAAAATAAAAAAGTAAATATCAGTTTATATTATAAAATATTAAATAAAAATTATTTTAAAATTACAATATTTTAATAAA